GGCAGTTTTTGAGAGCACACAACAAATAGTGAGAGATAAAAGAGATTAAACCACCATTTCATCTATGTACATTCCAGTGTTCATCAGTTTGACACCTAAGATTTTGCTGCTATACTGAAATTTTCAGTGCTATAAAAATATATCCATTGAAATATCTTAATTTTTTGGTATGATGAGGGCCAGATACCACTTCATGTACTAAATAACTCAAATATTTGTTTGGAGATCTTCCTGGCTGTCATGTTGATGTCTGTTTCTCAATCTGACTGAGAAAGAATCTCAGTATGACTAAGTACAATGGTATGGTGCATTACCATGAATCAGGTTTTATGAAAGACCTCTCTGCTCGCTCAGGCTGCAGTTGTAATTACCATAATAATCTGCTCTGAAATATTACCCCTCAAACACATCAAAGGTTTACTGCAGTGGATTGCACTAGCTACCACCTTCCCGGAGGTTAATTTGTTAAAATGCTTTCATTTTTCATGCTTAGCTGGCAAAGAACTTCTTAGCACCATCCCTGGGTACTTTAACTCTCGACAGGAAGACTCAGAACAGTCAGTGCTTTATTTTTTTGTATCTGATGGAACAGGTGGTTTTTCATTTACTAAACCATCAATACAGATGTTATTCTTACTTCACACACTTTAGCTGAAGGTAATAGAGCTTCATGGACTTACTCCAGCTATTGATCCAGCTGTGCTGTGCCTTTTTCAAGCTTTTTGTGTTTTACTTTCATCTGAGAAAGTTTAGAAGAAAATGTTCTTGGGCCTGATTCATAACTAGCAGTGCTAAATAGGGGCAAATTGCAGTGATAAATCATGCTCTGAATGCTGTTTCTGGGTTCTGTCATCTGTATTCTACGCAGACCCCAACAATTATTTTCAGGTTGTAAAATTCATTTCAGTGTGATAATCACTGCATTCTAATATTTAGAATACTCATTATAGGAAGAGTATTATGCAATATCAGAGTTCACAGCTTGAGTAGTTACCACTGCCCAATGTGGTTAGTTGTTGGGGTTTTTTTCTTGAGTACGGTAATCAGGATTTGATTTCCATTTTTTATAACATTCTTCAAACTGTCCCCACAACCTTGATCCAAAGCCCACTGAAGTCAATGAAAAGACACCTGCTGAATTTGGAGAGCTGTGAATCAGGCCACAAGAACAGGAAAAACTAAGGTCCTGCATTCTTCAAACGTGTACGTAGCTTTTAATGTGAGAGAAGTCCACTGACTTCAGCA